TTATAATCTTTGATATTTTTAAGAAAGGTACAAATGCAACATGATGTCTCCATGAGCTGATTTCAGGTTGTTTCAGGTTCAGATTTGTCAGTTTTTGTTCATAACAGATGAAAACAAAGTGATTTTGTGAGGAAGAGCCAAAGCAGCACTCAGTGTAAGGATCTGTATCACTCTGCTCGCCTCAGCTCTGTGCTTCCATTTTCACACTCAGCCACAGTAGCTTTGCATGATTCACAGTCCAAAGAGAGCACCGACCTGACGGAGCGGTCGTCGCTGCCGGTGACAGCCAGAGGCTTTTTGGGGTGAACGTCGAGCGCCCACAGCTCGCCCTCGCTGTGTCCCTGCATGATGAGCAGCGGCTTGTCCCGGTCCCGCACCATCACCTGCACAGGTACAACAACTCAAGAGCAGGTTTTCACATTTTAAAGCACCACATCACGCACGTTTCAGTGCCGATCTGAGCTGCTAAAACTGCCTGACATTAGAAACTCTTCACAGTTTTGATTAATGAGAACATTTTGTTGCCTGCGTGTCAGCAGGAGGTCTTCACAAAAATAAAACTCTTTGAAACGCGTCGCCGCAGGGAGGGAACAGCGTGAGGTTTCGTCTTCTTCCTCACCTCAAAGATCTCGCTGTCCTGCGTCCCTGCCAGGATCCGGTCGGCTCGCCAGCAGACGCTGCGAATAGACAGACCTGAAGGAGGGAGGAGAGGAAAGGAGAAGGTAAGGTGACACAAAACTGTCAAAACATCAGGAGAAAGACAAAAATAAAACCAGTGGAGAGGAAAAGAAGCAAACAGGAGGATAAAAATGGAAGACGACAGCGCTGCAGAGGAAGCAGGTCCTCGGTCTTGATGAACTCGGTGGTTAAATCCACTAAATAAACGAAGACGAGCTCCGCTGTCGCTGGCTGCTGGAGGCTGGAGAGGTGGCGGTGCAGCCAGGTGAGGGTGGACGGAGCTCCATGAACCTCTGGACTGCTTCGTTTTTTATTTTCACTTTAAAAGCACCGAAAATGATTCGGTTAGTTTTAGGAAAAGAATCCGGTTCGACTGAAACGCACACCTGCACTACAGCAGAGACACGTGGACACTCACATCATTCATCTCAGTTCAGAACACCCCCAGGAGGAGCGCAGGAGGTGTCTGATCAGAGGGAGATCTGGACTTTGTGAATGTAGTTCAACCTGCTGACTCAGCTCGGCTTCAACCTTCGTGTTTTTTTTAAGTTTTGCTGCTAAAACTGCTTTTTTCCACCATCGGAAATGTAATTAGCAGAGCTGCTCAGCAGCTCAGCGCTCGCCAATTAAGAGCATCTGCTGTGGCTGATGGCATCGCTCAGCATGTGATGTTTTCCTGTAATGTTGTTAGAAACTCCGGAGGTTCAGCAGCCAAAACAGGCCGACAGCAGAGGAGTTTGTGAGGCACGTGGGAAATAACTGGGAAAGATTATTTTTTCTTCAGCTTCAGACGCAGGAAGAGCGCGGCGCACCGCGGGAGAGGAGAAGGAAGCAGAAACAAACCGACTTCCTGTCCACGTACAGAGCAGCGAGAGGCGAAGAGGACGGGCTCGTCGTCTCATCGGGCGTGGAACTCCAACATTTTTAGGCGCCGATATATTAGCAGCCTTTCAGACTAATCCACCATGAGATGGCAGGTTTGTATCTGTTGGGTCACGTCGGTCAATGTCAGAACTCGGACGGATTCAAACCGTTGAGCGTTATAAGAAACAAGGAGAACCATGCAAAGCTGTCCTAGAGCAGGATGCTCCCACATTTCCTGTCCACAGATGTCACAGCGACTGGTTTCAGGATGTTTTTGAGGAGATGAACTTTGACGGTTAATCAGAAGCTCCATCGTGTCTGCAGCAGAGATGTGTTAAGGAGGAGAACTCGTTTCAAACTGACAAAACTTTTGCCTCCTTCCTTTCATCTTTTCTTCCTTTTTAACTTCTTCCTCAAAATCTTCAGAGAGGAGATTTTAAAAGGAGGCGGTGGGATTAATGGCTCGCCCTCGAGCTGCTCCTGAAGGAAGAGCGTACGTCTGCACCTCCTGCTGGGCAGCGACATTTCGGAGGAGGGGGAGGCGAGGGGTTCAAACAGCCATCACCTCTGGATTTGAGCTGAATCAGGTCAAATAAAGATGAGAAACCTCCTCAAAGAAAATCAGGTCATTTTAAAACCTTCAGCTGACAAAGAACCGTCGGGATGTAAGGACCGTTCCTCCTCATTGTTTAGAATAGAGATAAACCCGCCCCTCCCTCCCACCTGAGCCCCTCCCTCCCACCTGAGCCCCTCCCTCCCACCTGAGCCCCTCTCCGTACCTTAACTTTGCAGCCTCAAATGAACCTTTTCTGTTAAATCGTGTTAGAAGCTGAGACCTCGTCCCTGTGTGCACCTGTGTGATACAACACTGTCACCTTTGCTGCTGTAATGACCTGCGGTGACCCCGTGACCGTACCTTTGTATCCCTGCTCGGCCTCTCGCAGGTCGATCTTAGTGATGGGTTTGAAGTCGACGTCCCACAGTCGGATGCAGCCGTCTCTGCCGCCCGTGGCGAAGCCCTCCTCGCAGGAATACATGCTGAAGATACCGGCCTGAGAACACACACGCATCCACACAATGAAGCAACGATGGACCCACGTCAGCCAGACGTGCAGACGAGTGTCACGCTGGCCTTCTGCTGCGACGGGAAGCAGAGGTGAGACTCACGCTGTGGGCGGACTGGACCGTTCGGATCAGGTTGAGTCCCTTCCAGACGTAAATGTCTCCGTTAAGCGCCCCGGAGTACGTGATGTCATCTTTAGCCGAGGCCACACACAAGATGGTCTGCAGGTCGCCCGTCTTCCCGAAAATCCCCCGCTTTGGTGTGAGAGCGTTACCGCACAGGGACCAGAACTGCGAACACAAACGGAGGCGGTCAGGAAGGAGACGGGGAGACACCTTCTTACTGTTCGAGGCCAGATCTGCGTCCTAGACGCAGATTAACGATGGATTTAGTTTCAAAAGCACATGTAAAGAGTGAGGGGAGGGGCTAACTGAAAGACCAACGGGCACCAGAAGTGTCAATCACACAGTAGCCCCGCCCTCCCTGTCTGCATAAGAACCAATGATCACCTTGACAACGGCTACATCGCAGTTCCCTCTGCAGAGTTTAAAACTAAACACACCTGAGCTTACTTCTTCACAAACACAGAAGCAAACATGGACCCAGACCTGAAACACGAGTCTGAAGAGAAAAATGGGGCTGAGGACGCTAAAGCCAGTCATGAAGTGGCCACCATCCGGCGAATCTACAGGTTAGAGGCGTTGGAAAAGCTACGTGAAGATGTGACGAGCATCATTGAACATTTCATGGAGGATGGCTTTCTGGAGAGCGATGGAGACACGACAGAAAGTGACGGAGATGCGAGAGAAAGTGACGGAGATGCGAGAGAAAGTGACGGAGACGCGAGAGAAAGTGACGGAGACGCGAGAGAAAGTGACGGAGATGCGAGAGAAAGTGACGGAGATGCGAGAGAAAGTGACGGAGACGCGAGAGAAAGTGACGGAGATGCGAGAGAAAGTGACGGAGACGCGAGAGAAAGTGACGGAGATGCGAGAGAAAGTGACGGAGATGCGAGAGAAAGTGACGGAGATGCGAGAGAAAGTGACGGAGACGCGAGAGAAAGTGACGGAGATGCGAGAGAAAGTGACGGAGACGCGAGAGAAAGTGACGGAGACGCGAGAGAAAGTGACGGAGATGCGAGAGAAAGTGACGGAGATGCGAGAGAAAGCGAGTTTAGTGAGAGCGAGCCTGAAATGCTGAGAAACGGGGCTGAGGACGCTAAAGCCAGTCATGAAGTGGCCACCATTCATGGAATCTACAGGCCAGAGGCGTTGGAAAAGCTACGTGAAGATGTGAGAGCATCATTGAACATTTCATGGAGGATGGCTTTCCGGTTTTAGACCGCTTCATGGAAGAGTTTCTGGAGAGCGATGGAGACACGACAGAAAGTGACGGAGATGCGAGAGAAAGTGACGGAGATGCGAGAGAAAGTGACGGAGACTGCGAGAGAAAGTGACGGAGATGCGAGAGAAAGTGACGGAGACGCGAGAGAAAGTGACGGAGATGCGAGAGAAAGTGACGGAGAGCGAGAGAAAGTGACGGAGACGCGAGAGAAAGTGACGGAGACGGAGAGAAAGTGACGGAAATGCGAGAGAAAGGTCGCAGGACAGGACAGAGTGCCGAGACGACTGGAGAGGTTACCCCATACCTGAGGAGAACACTGAGAGCACTGAGAAGGAGGCTCCAGCAGGCTTGGGGAAGAGTGATCTCCACCAACTGTTTGTGTTAAAATCACACAAATAAAAAAGAAAAAACAATCTAAATTGTCCTGGATTTGTCTTGTATTTAAATCCACAGCAGTGAACCATGTGAAGGTGCTTTTTGATATCTGGACTGGACTCTGATTGGATGAGAGAAGCTGAGCTGGGAGTTGTCTCCAGCTTTTATATCTGCTTCCTTCTCGGCTCGTTAGAGAGTCAGAGATATTTAATGACGGGCGTTCAGAGGAACTATTTTATTACCTCGAGTGAAACTAAGCGGCTACATGAAGGTGGAGAAGGTCAATGTGCTGACCAGTCATATTTCTGGGTAGGAGGAATACGTTACATTTTACTTCCACATTTCTGGAGACGAGCACAAAACGACGATTTCTGCGTTACCTTGATGTGCTTCACGCCGCAGCTCACCAGGCGGCTTTGCTGAAACGGATCCCAGCAGATGTCAAAGATCTGGAGAACAGAAGAATCGTCCGTTATCGGGTTTATGTGAAAACGCGTGCATGCACAGTGGAAGTACGATGAGAAGGAAACACTTTCAAACTCTGTAAAAGATTTTTTATTGAGATCTGATTGGTGTGTGGTGCTTCACGCTGATTTTCTGTCCCGCTCAGACGGCACCGCCCAGAGGCTTTGCCAGACGGCGGCAAGCGGCGAGGCTTAACTGCAGAGGAAGCTGATTGGTGCACGCTCTCACCCTGTCCGAGTGTCCCGTGGCCGTGGCCAGGATCTTCCCTCTCTTCCACTCCCAGATACACACCGTGTTCTTGGCGTCCAGGCCGACCGAGGCCAGCCGCTGCGGAGGAGAGACGGGGACGGTTACGCATCCAAAATGTCTACAAACAATTTAAAAAAGAGGCTGAACGTGCAGAAATCTGACAGCTCATCTGCTTCATACGTGCAAAAGCTTAATCCAAGCTGACAGAGGGCGGGGCTCCCTGCTCGATTAGCCTGACGCTCATGTGACGTGTTTGTAAGTGTAAATATAGCAACTCTGCAACATTTCAGATGAACTCAAGTTTATTTCTAACGACCAAACCTTTAAAGCGTTTTCAAAGGTTTGCTTGGAAAGGCTGAGGTCAAACTGCAGGAATGTCTTAAAGACATAAAGACCTGGATGGCCGCTAACTTTCTGCTTCTTAATTCAGATCAAACTGAGGTTA